CAGTTTCTTGGCGCTCTTCCAACAGGGAGTGGTGGCGGTGGGGGTGTGGGGGTGGGGGGGTGGGGGGGTGGGGGGGTGGGGCAGTGAGGTTGGCTTGACCCTCCAAGAGTGGAAGAGGGATCTTGAAGAAGCAATAGCTCAGGAGAGCTGGTTGACAATTTTACAATCTTAGAATACACCTTCTCAGTTTAATGTTGTGTCAAATTACTAAGTCGAAGTGTATTCAGTTATTCACATTAATCTTACACAGCACAGACATATACCAACTATGACATTTTTCTGGGAGCTAAACAGAACTACAGTCCTAGAAAAGATCTAACCCCCAACGCAGACAGAGCCGTACTATTATCCAGACTACAAAATAATTACCATTATTTTTCTTCCTTTGAACTCCAGGATAATACATGATCTTCCTACTTCTTGCCCAGCTCCACTGCAAACATTGAAGGGGAAAAGATGATTAAAAACAATCAAAATCAAGCCCAATAAATCCAAATATTTTTACAACTTAAATTATGCCCCATTTGATGATAGCACTTATCTGAGGCAGGTAAGAGTTCGAGAAACTTACAAAGATAGGGAAGAAGAGTGTCTACGTGGGAAAAGATGGAAAGTGACCCTTGGGAGTCGAGGGATTTTGCAGCTGCTAAGATATGGGAGGGGATGGTACAGATACAAGAAGCCCAAGGTTAAATTCAATCTTCTGAAGGTTAGGGTTAAATCATGATGTAACAGAAATCTCAGTTACACACATTATGGGCTCACACTTCTACGATCAGCACTTAAGTGAAACTCAAAGGCACTTCAAAGTTCTTTCACTGCCTTTCTGAGCACAGTATGTATTTACATTTTACATTATAGCTTAAATTTAAATAGACTAATTTTATTCATAGCCGTGCACTCAGGGCCTCTGCCCTCTAACTTGTTTCAGGATACTGGATGCCAAGTACTTCAACAATTTTCCTTTCTTCTTAAATGAATACAACAGCCTTAATTTCCAATTATCACAAGATGCACCTGAAGCTAAACCTCACCTGTTTTCCCAGTCCCTCACCTTCTCTGATGTCTTTTCCCACCCATCCTAGGTAACATTTCACTCAATTCAACACCAAGCACCGTACTGTCGGTGCCTAGCATATGGAAATGCCTAGTACCTGGACCATGATCTCAAGGAACTCAGTCCACTTACTAGGAGACACACACGAGATGGTTCTACCCCCAAATGGAGATCCTAGTGCAGAGTATGATGTTGATAAATTCAAACAACCATGGTGCTGCCATGAATTCCTGGCCTCCCCTTTCACTGGCCCACGAAGCAACCTCTTAAGTGTCCCTAGCTCAGTTTTCTCTTATAATTTCCACAGTAACTATTTCAAACTTCATCCCCATTTTCCATTCTATCTTCCTCTTCACTCGAGCCGAGGGCCTTCTGTGCATCAAAAAATATACAGCTCATGTTTGCCAGTTTCCTCAACTTCACTTACCAACCCACCAACATTGTGTATCCCTCCATTTTTCCTGTAGCAATAAAACAGAGCTCTTTCTGTCCGAGGCCCATCTTGTCACCACGGTTCTCCACTCTGCACACTCCACCCTCCTGAAGACCTGGACACCGCTGCCTCACTGACATTGCCCTTCCCAGCTACTTTAGCATCACAACTGAGACGTGCTACAGCGTTCTCACCTGAAAATTAAAACCCCTCCATTCTAGTTTCCTTTATTTCTGTTATTCCTTTCCCCGGCCGCCTCCTAAGAGCTGTGCTCACTCCCTGCTGGTCCCTCACCTCCTCCCACTCAATTCACTGCAAGCCGGCTTTTGCCAACCACTCTTCTGGAACCATGCTTACAACGTGGCTCTTTGTTGCTAAGTGCAAATAGCCTTTCCCGCCCTTCTCTTGTTCTCTCCGCAGCCCGTCATGTCTCCCTGGCGTTTCCTTCACACTCACGCCTCTGCTCACACCTCAAATGTTAGTATTGCAAGGGGCTCTCCTTGGCCCACTTCTCAGGCTTTGTGATCTTCAGTCTCACGTTTTTGACATGCTGATGACTTCCAAGCCTGTATCTGTAGCCCAGATCGTTCTTCTCAATTCCAAGCCTCTAAAAGATACCTGGCCTTTAGGTCTTTCTCCTGGGCTACCACACAGGTACTTTATATTCAAATATGCCAAACTAGTTTTCACCTCAAGTCCTTTGAACTTGCTTTTTTCCTGGAATATCCCTCAGCTATTGACATGACTGGCTCCTTTGTATTTTGTATCATTTGGGTCTCAGTCCAAATGTCACCTTCTGAGGCCTCCTCTTGACTGCCTTCTCGTTTGCCCTTCACACGACTCTATCATAATTACATGAAGTTACTCTATTTATGGTTTGTTCCTCACTATGAAAATGAAAGCACTGTACAAGCAGAGACATTGTCTATTTTGTTCACTACGATTCAGCTGCAGTACCCGATATGCAAGAAATCTCAAGAAATACTTACTAAATGACTAAAAACTCCCAAATTATAAACCTTGGAAACATTATGCTAAGTGAAAGAAGCTGAAGCTAGTCATAAAAGGTTACATATTATATGATCTCATTTAAGGAAAATGTCCAGAATAGGCAAATCTGTAGAGAAGGAAAGTAGATTAGTGGTGGCCAGGGGCTGGGGAAGTTGGGGGGATATGGGAGTGACTGCTAATGGGTTCAGGCTTTCTTTCTGGAATGACAAACATGTTTTGGAATTAGATAGTGGTGATGGTTGGATAAGTCAGTGAATATACTAGAAATCACTGAATTGTACACTTTTAATGAGTTGTATGGTATGTAAATTATATTTCAGTAAAGCTGTTATAAAACAACAGAACTCCCAAATTTATTCCAGACCTGCCCCAGCTCCCGTACTCCTCGAGTGAATAACACAACCTTTTACCAGTTGCTCAACCTAGGAACCCAAGACATCCTAACACTCCTCTCCACAACTACCCCTTCCAATACATATCTGATGAGCTACAAAACTAAAGATTTCACTTCCTTACTCTCTGAAACCGACTTCTTTCCACCTCACTGATGTTCATTTCATTCATTCCAAGCTCTCACTGCTTTTCACCAGGATTATTTCAATTACATCCTCCTGGATTCCCACCACTGAACCCACTCTTATTCATCTGCAACAGCTGATATGAGTGATCTTCCTAAACACAGTTCCCACTATATCCCATCAATGCTTAAACCCTTCGCTGGCTCCCCAGAACTGACATGATAAACGCTCAAACTCCTTAGTATGTATACAAGCTGGTCCCTGACAGGCTTTCCCACCTCATCTGCTAATCTTTCAGCCACAGACATGAGGAAACTGGCCACAAACTGTGACCATTCTCATTTTCACATGTGCCACTTCCCCTGCCTGGAACATCCTTGCCCTGCCCTTGATCTGTCTTTAATTCCTGCTTATTCTTTAAGGCTCAGGTCATGCTCCGTATTTTCCAGGATGCAGGAACTAGCCTTCTCTTCTCAACTTGTTAGAAATCCCTTTTCCGTAACTGTCCCAGAACTCAGTGCATGCCAATCTGTATGTACACTCCTAATATACCATTTACTGAGCACCTACTATGATCCTCACAATAAGTGTGGCCATATTATTTTCACGTGAAGAAATGGGTTCAGAGAAGTTGTTGTCCTAGCAAGTGACAAAGAAGGGACTGAATTCCACGTCTGACCCCAAAGTAAGTATCTCCTATTAGTCCCAACTGTCTCTCCAGAACTTTTCACTTTGCACTGCAATTCCTTCTGAAAGGGTGAATTCAGTTAACTTGGCACTGTCCTATTTGCATCTCCAATGCCTAGTGTGGTGCTGGACACTTGCTCGGTGTCTGCTGAACACAGGAAGAGAGGGTAAGTGTGAACGAAGCAGTGGGAAATTTGTGTTAGGTTCCCAGTAGGTGCTCAACTAGTCCTTACTGAGTGGATGTGTAGACACTGTCCACCTTTTGAAAACGCACAAGTGAATGAGGTGCTAACTTACATCTGAATATATGTTTGTGAATTCAAATTGCTAATCTACAGCAAAGGGTTCTCCACAATGGTTTCCCCCTCTAAGCCTCATTCCAGATCTGTAAAGTGTTTCTCTGGCAGGAGGCCATCTCCACCAAAAGACGAACCTTCGCATGGACAATCAAGGACAATTTTGTCCTTCACATCTCTGCTCTTTCCCCTCTCCTTCTACCTTTCTTAATCTGCTAGGGTCTGAAGTCAGAACGTCAAAACTCATAGCTAATCGATTCCCTCTTCCACATCTCGGCAAACGTGGAAATAATAAACAGATTTAGTTCTTCTTCCCACCGCCATAGCCTCATCCAGGTCCTCCTCTCATCCTGCCGCCATCAGCATCCACCGCTTCCCCCACGGCTTGCCACTCTTTAGCGCCCAGCGGCCCAAGACATTTTCCGCCGCCCCCAACAACACCCTCTCCCGAGAGACTGAAGAAAACAGCCAAGTCCCATTCAACCTAGCAGGCCCGTTCCGATCCACGGTTCTCCAAACCCCTTCAGCCTGAGAGGCCTGGCCGGCCCCTGCGGACCAAGGGGCCGGCTCCCGAGGCCTGCCGGCGAGGGGGGCGACCTAGGAGGCCAACCACCCGGTCACCCCGCCTCGCCTCGCACAGCCCGTGGCTTCGTGCCCTCCCTCGCTGGGCCCTTACAGGGGTCGGATCAGCAGCTGGTCACTTTCCTCAGCAGGAATCGCAGACATCTCGGAAGTCTGAAGGCGGAGCGCGGGAAAGGAACAGGTCGCGGGAGCCTTCCTAAACGGAAAACGGAGCCACGGGGAACCAATGGTAGGTAGAAAAACCCCATCCACCAGAAGCACTTCCGGCACTCCGGCGCCCGCGACACTAGGCCCCTCCCCCCAACTTCCGGTCGCACACGCTCGGGCGCGAGATTGCTCCCCGAGCGGAGTCCGGAAATCTGGTACGGGGTCAGGCTGCGCCTGCGCGATGTCTCGGAGGCGGGGCTCGGCGGGCGGGGCCGGGGGCACCGGAAAAGCTGGCGCTGGAATTAGAACTGGAGTGGCTGCCCCAGCGTCTGTTCCCGGGGCGGCGGGTGTCTGACCCCGATCACGGGCGGCCCCGGCGGCGGGCCACCGGCTGTGAGGTGAGAGCTGGGCCCTCGCCGGACCCGGGCTGAGCCTGGCAGGGAACGCGGGCCCCGAAGGCGGCGCCGGCGGAGGGGCCCGCTGTGGGGCGGATGGGTGGGGCCGCTGGGGCCGCGGTCTCCCCGGGGACCCGCCTTCCCGGGGTCCGGGCCCCAGGCCCCGAGGCGGCTAGGGGCGGGCGGCGGGAGCTGAGGAGCGGGCCCGGGCCTGCCGGAGGATGCAGTGCCCCCGGTGCCCGGTTCCTGTTTGCGGTGGGACTGCAGCTCCTGTGACGACAGGTGTCGTGTGTGGATCGGTCCCGTCGGACTCGGCGGCGGGAGTGGGCGCTTCCGCGGGGCTGTTTCCTGAGTCAGGCTCTGCTCTGTGGGGCGTGAGGAGCACTGCCTTTTTGTGCCGGCTCCTGCTGGTTTCTGCACCGCTCCGCCCCCCGCCCCCCCATCCCTCACTGAGAAAGGCCCGGGGGAGTGTGTCTTGTTTGCTGTCACCCTGTGCACCTGCACGTGGCGGGCACAACAGAACGGTGCGGAATGCATGGGAAGCAGGGTGGGGTCGAGAAGGAGCTTTGGCGTCGGTCTGTCTAGGTTCCGAACTTGGCCCCAGCCATGATTAGCCTGGCGACCTTGGCCGAGTCCGTTGGCGTTTAGGCTTCTTCATTTGAAAGGGGCTGTGCCTCCGCAGCCTTGCTGGTCCTTAGCGGTGTATGTAGCACCTAGCGCTGGGCAGCACCTGGTAGGTGTTCAGGACACGAAGTTACTTGGATGTCATCTTCCCAGCAGGTTCTTCAGTTCATTAAGCATGTCCTCTGCCAGTCTGTGCCAAGCATTGGGTACACGGATGAATTATCTCACCCCCATCTTTGAGGAGCTCACAGTGAGATAGTTCTAAGTAAGACAGTTCTAAGTAGGCAACAGCAGGCTAAGGCTGGGATTAGGGTGCATGCTCAAGCTGTGGAGAACCAGTCCTTTAGCCCAACCTGGAGGTCCAACGGAAGCTTTCTGCTTTAGTAAAGAAGCAGCCTGAACTGAGTCTTGAAAGGTGAGTAAAGTTGGCTGAATGAATAAAAGGTGGAAGGGCATTCCAGGCAGACAGAATTATAGGAGCAAAGCATAGAAACAGCAGAGTGCATGCCGACAACCTGGAGAAGCTTTGCATTCCTTAGAGAATAAGGTATGAAGCTGGTTGTGGAAGATGAGCCTGGAGAGGTAGAGAGCCCTGCCATGCAGGACCTTGCATGTCCTGGCAGAGAGCTTTGACTTCAGTTTCTGACTTTGGTGAGTCCGTGAAAGATTTTAAGCACGTTAATGGCATCAGATAGGAGTTTTAAAGAAATCATTTCAGCTGGAGCTTGGTCGTAGATTTAAAGCGGCAGGGAGTCCCGTTGGGACATGAATTCCTTAAATGGCCTGCCAAACTGTGTATCTGTGCATTGTTTTGGGTTGAGGATCCATCCACACTGATGGATCAGCTGATGAAAAAGTATTTATATACAGCAACGGTCTAGTGATGGCATGGGCCTGTTAGAGGTGTGGATGAGCAAACTGTTCAGGGGTTAGATTCAGTGGATCTTAGTATTTTATTCGATATAGGGCCTGGAGGACTTTGTGCAGTTGGTGATTTCCTGGTTTCTACCAGAAATAACAGAATTTACTGAAAGGGAGAGGAGAGAGTTGGAGCAGATATGGAAGGGAAGACAAAGGGTTTGCTTCAGGCATTTTTGCATTTGACAAGTTTGGAACATCCAAGTGACAATCAGTATTTCTGGTCTCATTTTCATGCATGAATAATTTAGAGACAAGAATGATTTGCTTAAGAACATGCATCAAAATAGCAGCAGATCTCAGAGACTTTAATAAAATGCCTTTCCCTCCCTCAGCTCCTAGATTGGTGATGGAAAGTCTTTAGGAGTTGGAAAGGCATGATAATACCAATGGGGTGATTTTCAAAGCATTCTAGTATTCCAGGGATTTGAAGGGATGCTTCAGGATTTCACTAGCAATAGAATCAAATTTTATTTTAAAATCATATTTAAAATTGTTACCTATATTGAAACGTGTGTGTGTGTATACACTCCCTTTCAGTAAATTCTCTCTCTATATATATATTTAAAATATAATGTCCTTAAATATGCTACACACCAATATTTTGACTGATCAGAGATTGCTAACATGGCACTTTATGCTGCTTAGGTTAACCCAGTTTGTGTAGACCTGGGAATAAGGCTCTCTTGCCGTCTCGTCCTGACTGAGAAGCATCCCTTGAATGCTAGGTGATCAATGGCAGCAAACAATCCCCAGTAGACCCTGATAATTCATCTCCCTCTTTTTACTTGTATCCTCTGCAGCTAGTCCTCTACCTGCAGCCCATCATCTTTCCAAAACAGAAGTCTCATCCTATCACTTGACTGCTTTTTAATAGCCCCTCAAGTCTTTCTGTTAAACCCAAAATAAACCCCAGACTTTTGTTGTGGTTTGCAACAGAATAAGGTATGAAGCTGGTTGTGGAAGATGAGACTGGAGAGGTAGATGGGAGCCCTGCCATGCAGGACCTTGCATGTCCTGGCAGAGAGCTTTGACTTCAGTCTCTAACTTTGGTGAGCCTGTGAAAGATTTTAAGCACATTAATGGCATCAGATTTGAGTTTTACCTTATTCTCTAAGGAGTAATACCTTATTCTCTAAGGAATGCAAAGGTCCTGTGGATCTTTCCCTCCTGTGGATCTGTCCCTCTCCCTCCTTCCTGCCACATTGGCCTCTCACTATTCCTTACAGCTGGGGTGTGCCCTCAGGACCTTTGCACTTGCCCAACTCTCTGCCAGAATGCTCTTCCTCTGTACTTACATGGCCGCCGTCCCTTCCTTCTTCAGGTCTCCTTACTGTTCATTTCCTCAGAGCATCTTTTTCTGTCTAAAATGCTCACCCTTCCTTCCATCAGTTGTAAATCCTGAACTTGCTTTTGTTTCCCTCATTATCAGTTGTTTCTAACAATGTATTTGGTTTTCTTGTCGGTCTGTCTCATCCCTCTGAGAATGGGCTCCTTGAGGTCAGGTCAGGGGCATTATCTGTCTCATTCACTGATACATCCCCAGCACCTAAAAGGTGCTCACTGGTTACTCAGGAATGAGTGAACAAATCAGATTTTCTTGCTACTTCACAAATCAAGCAAAAACATAGAGATAGGTTATATGATGGGGCTAATGAAAAAGTTTGGGCTTGAGGGTCAGTCTTGGGCAAGTGGCCTAAGGTCAGACGCTGGTGAGTGGACTGAGAATGGGGTCTCCAAATAGAGTGGGAGAAACTTCTCATAGGACATTCAGTGACCTCCCCTTGATTGACTCATTCTTTTTCCTTCATCAGGTACCTCATTTTTCTGAAAAGAATTGACCATGTCAGAATGAGAGGAAGCTCTCTGTGCACACTGTCGTCTATGGGACCTTTGAAGACAATACAGTAGTATTCCTTTTACCGTAAGCAGATTCCCTGTAGGATCCAATCTTTGGTAAAAATTTGTTGTTATCTTACTCATGAAGCCTCCTGAAAGATGGGTCACAGTTCCCTCACCTATAAAATGCAGATTATAACCTACCTTCTGAGGCTGGGGGCCTGGACCCCCCAGCATAATATGCAGCACAGACGAGGGATACCTTTAAAAAACATCCGGAGCAATTGAATGTGTCACCAGGTTGTTGTGAGGATAAAAGTGACACGATGTCTTTGGAAATATTTGAACTATAAACTGTTATGCAGGTTAGTTAATAATTTTTCAAGTATAATAGTTAGATGTGCTCCTATGAAATGGGCAAGGATAAATTTTGTTTCCCTGGCATTAATTATTACTTTAAAAAAGATGCATGGAAGACTGACTCTGGAAAACTTCAGGTCACCTCCTTCCCTGGCCTTACAGAGCGAGGAGGGGAGGGCTGGCGCCTGGGAATGTTTTTGTGTCCACTTTTACTTAAAGGTAGCTCAAGACATTGAGAAAAATGCCCATTTCTGAGAGGTAGTCATGTCTTCTGTTCTAAGCCCTACCATTTATAGAATGTCAGCCCAAGATAGCAACGGAATCTCAGGATCTTGGTTGGTAAACTAGTATGTCCCCTATTTTACTACTGTCTTGAATTGATTAAAGAGAAGTGAGGCACTTGAGTATTTTGAGAAGTAGATGATGTGTGTCTGTTACTTCTCAGAACAATGCTTTTCACACCCCCAGGTATGACGGAAGGTTTCTGTCCTTTCGGTTCATTAGGTTATTTTTTTCAAATTTAAAAAGAAAGAAAGAGTGAAGCAATAGTATCCAAATTTGGTGGCCAAAGGAAAAGATTTCGGTTTCCAGTAGGAGGACTGCACCGCGGACGGGGAAGGAATTGATGATTTTTATTCCTGTTGTGCATAAAGTGATTTCGAGGTGGTTTTCTTGCTCTAACTAACCACCAGTTGTTCTCCTAGGGGAGCTCCTTTGGATCAAGCTATGGTGAAAAATGTTCCGGAAGGGCAAAAAGCGACACAGTAGCAGCAGTTCCCAAAGTAGTGAAATCAGTACGAAGAGCAAGGTAGGGGGGCTGGGAATAGGCCCAGAATGGCAAAGCAGTGAGCATTTTGTTTCTCCTGATCCCACACAGAGCCTCCTAGCCACAGCGCAGCTGCTGGTCGTCCTCAAACTAGGTGTGTTTTGACATTTATTTTTGGCACTAGGGACCCGTCCTGTGCTTGATTTAATTTTCTGTCGTTCTGGAGAGTTCCTGAGATGATTCAGTTCACGAACCTGGATGGCACAGGACGTGTGAATGGTCTCACCGAAACACTGATTTTTAACTGTTGCACACGATCGAAATCGCAGGCCCATCCAGGGGCCGGAGCTCTTGCATTCCGGGGTGTGGGGTGTGTGTGCATAACTAGAAGTCTGCTTACTTAATAGCGAGTGAGTTGGATCGTGAGGCAAATGCCATGCTTAGGACTCTAGAGAAGCCGGGTATATGACTGCGAAGGGACCGTCGAGGCCTGAGTCCTCATCCCTGGACCTAGGCCGTGGTTCTCACAGTCTCCACCCTGTGAGCTCTGTCTTTTCAAAGACGAGCGTGCGCAGTGCCAGGACGCTGTGAGGCAGGCGACAAGCCCATGGCACAGCGCAGAGGGGGTGCCCTCCCCCAGGGGGATGGGCCACGCTGGCCCGTGGGCACCACCCCGAGCGACGGTGGCCACACCCCAGTGAATGAAGACACACACGACTGCCCCTCGGGATTTTCACCGAGCTGAGATGCTCCTAGCCAGAAGCACGGAAGTTGGACGTTTTAGGAATCCTGCCTTAGAGTGGCAAGACTGAGTTTTCTTGAAGGTTTTTGAACTGAAGCTAGTCAAGAACCTCCCTGCTGTTAGCTTTGCAGCCCTGGTGTGAGGACCTCAGCCTGGGGAACTGGTCAGGCCTGCTTCTTGTTTTCTAGACCAGAGAAAGGAGAACGGGAGACTTGATGGCTCGCTGCTGGCGGAGTAGATTTTCAGATTCCTAAGGGAACTTGCTGATGGCTTGAGATGTTAGCTCCAAGCCGTGGGTTCTCTGATGTGGCCAGCGGGGCTGGAGAGGGCAGAAGGGGGCCACCTGCGAGTGAGGGCCTTACCCCGAAGATGGTGGTGACCCCCGTGTGGTCTCTAAGCCACGTTTTGACTGTTAGGTGTGTGTTTTAGGTTGATGTAAGCTCTCCTTGTTGTCTGTTCTGGACATGGGAAAAGCAGACCAGTTTCTCCCGTCCTGTTCTCCTCGTGCAGAGAGGTTCAGTGGGGACTGGTGCTTTCCAGCGTGGGGGAGTAGTTTGGAACACAAAAGCTCACTCTGTTACTCACTTCGGGGTTGTGCTCATCCCAGAAGTCAGTCTCAGTTTATAACAGCATCTTAATTCCAGTTCCCTCCCCCTCACCCGTTGAGTATGTACAGTATTTCCGGTGTTCAGTCCCACATGTAACATTATGGGGAACGTCTCTGTGCACATAGCTCTCTTCTCATTTTACATTTTACTCCAAGGAGAGCAATTACCGAAAAAGGGAAAAAACATATTTACCAGACCTGATACATTTTTGCATTCACCTTGATTCACTTCTTGAACATTGAAAAAATTTGAGTATATTGCTCTTTTAAAATTTAATTTTGATTTGAGGTGCAAAGAAGGGACTCATTTTTTGAATCAAAAGTTTTCACAGAATGTTATTTCTAAAGAAACGAAGCATATTCAGAGCACAATTCTATAGAATCTACGCTAACGTGTATGCTTCGTGTTTTGCTTAACAATTTTGTTGGTTTTCCTTTGCAATTCACACTGATAATTGCACTCTGGTCTGCCAGCCGTCCCGTGCATGACCGAGCAGGCCAGGTACTCGTCGGACTAATGGCAGAGCATGGGGATGGGGAGGAGGAGACCTTGATCAGAGGGCTGGGCTAGTTCCTTGATGTAACCTTGGGTAAATCACTTCACCCCGCTGGCTGTCTTTGCTCATTTGATTATATAGAATCATACTCCCTGCCTGCTTTCCACACAGGGTTCTTTTTGGGTTCCGTGGGGATGATGTGAAAACAAAGTGTAGATTTTCACACACAGCCTGAGTACCAGGTGTCTGACAAGGAGGCCGAGGTGGTAGTTTTGGTTCATACTGGGAATGTCCACACCACGGTTATCTGACGTTGTGTTCTGGGAAGGGCAGGCGGGACTGCCTGGTTTTTTGAAGTTTGCTGTAGAATTCGTCTTTAGAAAAATCTGTCATAGTCGATCTGCTTGAGTAATTGAGCTGCTTTTGTCTATGTTGATTCAGCTGTAATAAGTAAATAATTTGAATGTTTGGTAGAGAATTTGAGAGAAGACAGTGTGTCTAATTCTGTTTACCTTTTTGTTTGTTTGTTGTCTCTCAGTCTGTCGATTCTAGCCTTGGGGGGCTGTCACGATCCAGCACTGTGGCCAGCCTCGATACAGATTCGACCAAAAGCTCAGGTACGGAGAAGGCTTGGACCGTTTAGTGTGGCTCTTAACCGGTGTTCATGTAGTTTCACCAGAGCAGCACAATACGTTCCTTTTTTTTTTTTTTAAGATTTTATTTATTTATTCGACAGAGAGAGAGAGACAGCGAGAGAGGGAACACAAGCAGGGGGAGTAGGAGAGGGAGAAGCAGGCTTCCCACAGAGCAGGGAGCCCGATCCGGGGCTCGATCCCAGGACCCTGGGATCATGACCTGAGCCGAAGGCAGATCCCTTCAGGATCCTAGACTAGTTAGTCTGTAAAAAGTGGGGACTACGGAGGGGTGGGATGAAGAACCATATCATGTACAAGAGAAGATAGTAGCGCAAAGTCTATTATTTTTGCTTCCAGATGCCTTAAAAATATTAAAAATGTGGGCGTCCTTTTTTTACATAAGCATAACCTAGAAGTACCCACATAGTATCACCTTAACATGGCAGATCACATAATGCACTGTGGCCATGTTGGCCCCAGCTAGATTTTACAGCACACGGTTCTTCAGCCTGTTGCCACATGTCGTGTAACCTAACATCTGTCCATGTGAAGAGACTTCCTGTCTGGCATTATTCCATCTGCAGGGAAAAAAACATTTGTTTTTTTTGACTGGGAGAGGTAGACCAGATTTGCTGAATCAGGAAAACAACAGTGAACATGGTAAAGAGGGAGAAGAAACCAAAAAAAGCTTAAATATCTTAATGTATCGGGAAGGTACTCAATCATTATCTAGTCAGCATTTTATTTTTCTCCTGTTTTAATTTATTCTTATTAAGACTTTTATACATTTAGGATAGAGTCACGGAGGAAGAGGCTAAATTCCAAGTTCTTTCCTATTACTTCAAGTAATCTTGCACTAAAATTTTTTAAATTTTCATTAAAGGTTAAGTTCTGATGACACAGTCTTTTTTATTTGTGAAGGGATTGAGGACACGCTGTAATGCAGATATTTCTTTTGAAGTCTTACTGTTAAAATTTTTCTTTCACCTTTAGGACAAAGCAACAACAATTCAGATACCTGTGCAGAATTTCGAATAAAATATGTTGGTGCCATTGAGAAACTGAAATTCTCTGAAGGAGAAAGTCTCGAAGGGCCCCTAGACCTGATAAATTATATAGATGTTGCCCAGGTAAGAAACAATTTTTAAAAAAATTTTAGAACATTCTAGAAAATAAATTCATGGCTTTGGAGAAGGATGTTCTGCTTTTATCATTGTTAAAATATTTATCGAGCACTGTGATGACAGGTGGTACAAGGTGCCTAGAGACAGAGTCCCATGGGAACAGGGAGTTCTTTCCTTCAAAAACAGCACTTTCTACTTTTTTGGGAGCTGACTTCCTCGTTTAAATGAGGAGCTGAGTGCGGTGATGGGTTATATACACCATAGGTCTGTCTTTTAAAACAGACTGGCAGGCCTTAGCAGGTCTCCATTGAACTAGTCGCAACTCCTTCAATAATCAGCCTCCTAGTGGTATTGACCTATCAATGCACTCACACCCGGTTAGCAACAAGAATTGAAGTGAGGTGGGCTTCAGAAACATACCCCAGTCAGGAAGATTAAAAAAAAGAAATGATCATGAAGGAAAATTAAGAATGAAAGCGAAGACAAAGCCAAGGTGTAAGGTCAGTGCATCGAATTCTGTAAGATCTGTACTCTTGCTAGTGTGGGAGTGGATGAGCCAAAGACAGTAAGTTGCTTCCTGAATTTCTAGAAAATGGCATCGCAGGTCTTTGTATTATTAACAAAGGGTTATTTCCACAATGGAAAGATTCCCTTATCAGTTCTTAGAGCGCTGGTTACTCTTAAGGCTGTTTGGTCTGGTGAATCGTGGAGAATGGGATCACTAAATACCATGCTTCATGCCCTCATAAAGCACAGGAGTTCTGTCTGCGGGGCATCAGCCAGTCGAATGTGCGTTTCACAGAGACCTCTGGGTAGTCTGGACTTAATATCCAGCGTTTGGCTTGGCATCGGTCATTCCAACGAGTGCAAGCAACACCTCACCGAAGTATGACACTGAGAAGATTGCTAAGGGTTCCCCCCCGAGAAGGGCACTAGGATCATTTTCATTCTGTTAACGACTGCTGAGTTTCTCAGAGCACCGTAGTCTTCGGGCTTGTCAAAATTCCATTATTGACAATAGCGTTAGTGTTCTCTCATCTTTTGATTCTTGGAATGCTTGAACCCTACTGTGAGAAATCACTGGAAGAGGTTACCGTAGCCGTGTGAGGACCCAAGAATCAAGGCGTGCAGACACAGCTTCTTTACCAGAAGTTCTTTAATGTAGGCAAATGGTTCCATACAGACATTCACAGTACGGGACATCTACTGATTGCCCACTCTCTGGTTTATTGTGGCATTAGACAAGTTAGGCGGTATTCTGACTTAGGGGAATAAAACAGGATAATCTGCTAGGGAAGCCATCAGCTATCATCTGCTGTTTGGTTTCCAAGTAACCGCACATCAAGCTCACAGCCCCGGGATCTGGGGGCACCCAGACGTACCTACCATGTGGGTAGGATGTAAAATGGCTTTGAAGAGGGGTTCCTGCGGCTCTGTTTCCTGATGGTTTCCTGTGCTGACATCGGCATAAGCTTTGAGTATTTTAAAATCTAAATACCTTTATTTTTCTAACGTAAATATTTAAGCCTCACTGGGATCTGTGAGCGGGATCTCTGTTTGCCATTAGGGATGACATCAAGACAAATGGCTGTGAATTTTGCTCAGGTCTGTGGACATGAAACCAAACCAAACCGAACCCTGGCGACAATGTTCCTTCTGCCTCTTTGAGGAACAGTTTTTGCTGGGCTGTTGCACACCCCGCGTTCTCGAAAGGGTTTGGATTTGTGATGGCCAGATACTAAACTTGACTAATCCGATTTAAGGGATGCAACGTACTTTTTAACGTAGCTCATGTGGTTTATTTTTACTTTAAAGCAAGATGGGAAGTTGCCTTTCGTTCCTCTGGAGGAAGAATTCATTATGGGAGTTTCCAAGTATGGTATAAAAGTATCAACATCAGATCAGTATGTAAGTAGAATTTATTAGGGGAAAAGGGGGTTTCAGGTACTTGGCAGTCAGGCTGCTAAGGGCCCACTTGTTCTCTCTGCTCGTTTGCAGAACTGTTGCTTGGTAAACATTCCTGGCAGCTGGTCCTAAAAAATGACCGATTTCTTAGGGTGAATGAAGAGAGGCCTCCTTTTGCTTCTCCGGGATGGTGGGGCCCCGGCCAACACCCCCCACTGCTGGCCCCTAATGCGGTTTCAGCTTAGGGCCCTGCGCCAGCTCAGCAGTTGTCAGCACGGACGCTGGGCACAGGGAACAGGACCGTGAACCCAGGTCTTACTCCTGTTTTTCTGGAATTTTTCGTAGGAAGGGATAAGCCTGAAGGCAAGCGGCCCCATAACTGAGCATTCTGGAATATTCCTCAGGGGGCAAAAAAACCTCTACAACTGTTTTCTGCCAGATGCATAGATATGCTCTGTTGGAAGCCTCACAGTAAATTCTGCAGAGAAAGGTCAGAATGTCAAGAGTCCCGATCTTTCTTTTTCCTGACTTCTGCAGGATGTCTTACACCGGCATGCTCTGTATTTAATCATCCGCATGGTGTGTTACGACGACGGTCTGGGCGCCGGAAAGAGCTTACTGGCCCTGAAGACCACCGACGCGAGCAACGAGGAGTACAGCCTCTGGGTCTATCAGTGCAACAGCCTGGTGAGGTTTCACGTTGCCTTGCTTCGTCTCATTCACGGGGCAAGGTGGTAAAGCCAGAGGAGACGGCCAGTCTTCTGTGAGGCCGAGGAGATGCCCCCCACAGGGCATCTGACGCCCGGCAGAGTGCGGGTGACCGTCAGGCCGGCGGTCAGCCAGCTGCCGGGACCTGCCGCGGGCGGTCAGTTGGGCCGGGACGAGCACTCACCCGTGCGGGCATCTCAAGGGCAGGGCAGACGCAGAGCCGGGGCGGAAGCCCGTCCTGTTCTGTAGCCGTCACCCCACTGCCGCATCGGCGTCCTTCCCAAAGGCCCAGTTCCTACGTGTTGTCCGCAGGTGCTTCTCCCAGAGGGGACGCACGAGGCGGCCCGGGGGACGTGGTGTCCGGGCTTCCCAAAGCTGTTGGTGGGCAGGTGTGCGGGGCTGTTAAGAGGGTCACATTTATACCTTTGCTGGCCACACCAATTCAGGAAGAGGTCGGTGAAGTCTCTTACTCTATGTTTTTCACTTAACCGTAGGAACAGGCACAAGCCATCTGCAAAGTTTTATCCACCGCTTTTGACTCTGTATTAACATCTGAGAAAGCTTGAATTCTGCAATCTAGTGGAAGCTGACTTCGTGTGGAAGGGCGATGGTTTTCAATCTGCAGTGTTGAATTACTCTGGAAATAGAAAGTGATGCCCTGCTCGAGATTTTCTGGAGAAATGCAGTGTATAAAATAGTGATCATTTGCTTTTTTATTAAAATGTGTCTTATTACAGTGAGTTAAGTCTCAATGAGGTTGTTGGCTTTCTGGGACTAAAAAAGAAACCTCATCTGTCACTTTTATTTATTTTTTTAGATTTGAGAGAGAGAGAGAGAGCAGGAGTGGGGGGTGGGGGAGGGAGAGGGAGAAGCAGGCTCCCCGCCGAGCAGGGAGCCCGACGTGGGGCTCGATCCCAGGACCCCGGGATCATGACCTGAGCCAAGGCAGACACGTAACCCACGGAGCCACCCAGGCGCCCCCCGCCCCGTCAGTCACTTTTAAACACAAATGAGCGTTAACACCTAAGTGTGACAGACGTGCGCGCAGTGAGTAGGTGAGCGCAGAGGGCTTTCTGAGGAGGACGAATGCTGTCCGTTGTGCAGCACGTGGGCCCACTGGCTGGCAGCTCTGGTCACACTGGTCTGGAACAGCAAGACTGCCATCTCAGCTCACAAAAAGTAAAACTTCAGAAGTGTATGTCAGGATGGCATGCTAGTAAACCAAAGTATTTACCTCGGAGTTCAGAGGAGAAAGATCACCGCGCGTGTTAAATAATAGTGTCGAAAGAATCTCACGCACAGTAGGCTAGTGGGTTTTTCTAAAGGACCATTTTAATATGCAGTGCTTAAAAGATTAAAAACATTACAAATAACACTATGTCCATTTAAAAGTATTTTATTTCTTTCCAGTCAAATGACTAGTTAACGGGAAGAGTCAACTTACTGAACATGCTCTAATTATAAATCACTGCATCAAGGACAACGAAAATAAGAATCGATTTAGGTTATACAATATACACAGTTGCGCTGCAACTAGATCGAAGTAATCAAGTGAACGAATCGAGTATCATACATCTCAAACAGCATTCCGAGCTGCATATTTATGCTCTCCACCCCGTAGCAGATCACACAGGACCTAGGAGTCTGTGCACATGTTGGAGTCCTCATCTCTAGAAGTCAGATCTGATGGAAAATGGCATGCAAAATGCCGGGATCCTGAAGCTAAGTTCATGAAACGTAAACTTTAAATATAAATAGTTATCTACAATGTTTTCCTTCCTCTCAGTTGTTTTTTAATTTGCAAAGAGCAAATAACTAGGAAAGGATGTTAGTGGGGAAGTTAATATAATTTCTCCTCTGGCAAGAGTAATACTAATTACTGCACAACAGCACCACCAAATTGTCAGCTGGAAAAAATATTTCCAAGATATTTATGTACCAGGGAACCTGACAGATTAGTTTGGGACTGGTGTTTAAATGTTGGTGAGACTCAACTTTAATTCCTTAGATATCTGGCACCAAGTAGTCAAAAGGCTGATTATAAAACACAGATGCAAGAGGACTTTGTTAAAATATACATAAGAAGTGCACCGTGCAAAGTATATCTGTTTACTTTTTTAAATCTGTGAGGGAATTAACTAAATGAAGGGTTCAAACAACAGAAATTAACAATTAGTGAAAACAGATGTAGTGCTTTAAAAAAAAAAAAAAATCTGACACATTTTTACCCAGAACTTTGAAAGGCTTTAAAAAGCAATTGCCATACAACATCATAAAACATTCCAGTTTGTTCTGTTTTCCTTTATAATAGCAACAAAAAGTACAATGCAATTAAAAAAAAAAAAAAAAAAAAGGCTCTGCACTTAGAAGAGTCTTGCCTAGTAAAGATGGGCTGCTCCAGTCAAATGTACCAGCGCCACCATGGATGAAAGGATCGCTGCCTCGCTTTCCAAGCCCAGACCTACACTTATCCCTTCACTTCCGGTAGAAATCCGAGTGGGCATTATAGGCCTACTTATTCTCAAAGAGTGCCAAAATGTCCAATATTCCTATTACGAATCTTAGGCTCACAATTACTAAATAGAGGTATGACAGTCAAGTTCGTGAAACTAATGAATTCTGATTTTATCACACACAACCTAACCCCCCCACCCCCAGGAGCTTCCGTTTAAGAATGACGTGATGGACTTTGGTCGTGAAATGGGGATGTCTGCTCGGGAGTATTTTATTACCTGGGACCTACAGATTTCTGATATGCTCTTGATTACAAACAAATGGACAGCTTCGCGTTCAAGACAGTGTAATACCGTTCCTGTTGGTATAGTATATAAGTACAAGACACTAAGTTGAGTAAACATTCCTGGGAGCTGGAGAGGGAAGGCAGTGGTACACTCAGTGGGAAACAGCAGTGTTAACAGTGGGGTCTGCACCACAGTTCTCTAGCTGCGTGACCGAGGAGGGTCGAGAAGGCGAATCCGAAACACCTAAAGCATATCAACTAGTGTAAAGAACTGTTTTTGCAATCCATCATCCTTAGTTTTTAACCAAATTCAGGAAATGCAGGTTTATAGAACGTGGAACTGAATTAGCTATTACCATATGCCGTAATAAACCATGGGTAGTTTTGCTAGGTAGGATTGTTCACAACAGGCTACACGCACATGCAGAATACAATGAGAGTTGCAACCTCACAAATTAGGGCTGGAAAAGTACAATGCTAAGGTGTAAATTTCCAAGTTGCTTTAACTAAACCTTGGGTGGATTCCAAAGGAAATCTTTAAATGTATCTTAAAAAAAAAAGTCTTTAAAGGTGAACTGATAGCATTTTATCTAGAAAGTCCAGGGCTGGGCTACTTCTAAAGCAAGTTTACCAACTTCCTAAAAACTTGCACTAAAGGGTCACCGACTCTAGAAGCAGGCCAAGGAAAGGCTGGAAGAATTTCTTTCTAATACTCAAATACTTTTAGGTTCAGCTAATTCTGTAGATTGACGACCTTGATCACGTCGAGTTAAAATAACTTTTCAGTTCACCTTCTAGGAAATTTCGTTTTTTCCCTAATAAAAGTATGGCAGTATTTCATGAAAACCACAAATTATAAAAACAATTCATTTATACATACAAGTTGCCTTTGAGTTTGTAAAACAGAAGAGCGGAGTTAGAGAAAGTGGGCTACCGGACAATATATTTCATGAAACTGGTCATCTGGCAAGAGTTTTGGTACCAATAACAAACAGGAACATAACAACTGTTAAAAGGAGTGTCTTTGTTCAGTAGCAATTCAGTCAGCAATAAAGTGCACAAATGATACGGGAAATGCTCCTTTGCGACTGGGATCTCCGTCAATGTGGCCAATCTGAAATGAATAAAAGTTTAGGTGGTTATAAAAATTCTAAATGTTAGAAACTTCGAAGGACAATGCTACAGCATTTGGAAAAAAGAAATTTGTTCAGAACAATTTCTTCTGAGAAAGAATGACCTGGGTAAGACATCTGAACTGTTTTCCCTTTTTTCTTTCACTCGTGTTTCAAATATAGCTGACCCTTGACCACCTGGAAGTTCGAAGTGCCACCCCCACCCCCTGCAGTTGAAAATCTGCGTCTAGCTCCTGACTCCCCAAAATCTTAACTACTAATAGCCTACTGTTGACCAGAAGCCTTACAGATAACATGAGCAGTCGGCTAACACATATTCTGTATATTGCACATACTGTACACAGAACATACTGTGTTCTATGTGAAGAAAATCGCAAGGAAGAAAAAGTACATTTAAGTGCTATCCTGCGTTTACCAGAAAACACCCCACACCCACGTTGTTCAAGGGCCAAGTGCAGTGGCCGCCCACTGTCAGGGAGCGCTCGGGCAGGCGGGCCAGGCGTCTGCCCGGAAGAGCACGCGCCGGGGTCCTGGCGTCCGGGGCGGTGGGGGGTGGGGATGGCAGGACAGCTGTCCGACTCCTGCCCCCCACTTGCCTCTTTTTTCTTTAATGGAGAAACCGAGCGTCAGAAGTCTGTGAGTTGCAAAGTCACAGAAAGGGGCAACGCCTGAGTGGGCTCTAAACGTAGTCAAGCATTTACGAAAGGCTTGAAGGGATCCACTGATTTTAACCCTGGGTAAATTATGTAAGTTATACACCGAGTATGATCTCAAAAATGTAAATTAGGTAGGTAAGTAAAAGTCAAAAAGAAGGGGCGCCTGGGTGGCTCAGTCGTTAAGCGTCTGCCTTCGGCTCAGGTCATGATCCCAGGGTCCTGGGATCGAGCCCCGCGTCGGGCTCCCTGCTCGGCGGGGAGCCTGCTTCTCCCTCTCCCGCTCCCCCTGCTTGTGTTCCTGCTCTCACTTTCTCTGTCAAATAAATAATAATAAAAAAAAATCCTTAAAAAGTCAAAAAGAAAATCTCTGTAATACACCTGGTAAGATGGGGGGGCGCTGCTGAGTTTATGGGCAGCATTTCCTTCTGTGCACCTTAGTATGTTCCAGATGGCTGAGCCCACTGCCAGGCTGGAGCCCCGCCTCACGCCGCGTTGTCCACAAGCGTGAAAGCCAGACCTGCTTCAGCTCTCGGGGCACGGGGGGCAGTCGGGGAGGGAGTAAGCTCAGGTCCGCCCACTGTGGGCGCACACCTGCCGGAACCAGAACCACAAGCGGCACCCCCTTTCCTGCCTGGCTGCTGGGTGTGGCTAGGCCGACAGAAGAGGGAGCTCTGGCTAACGGACACCCGATTCCCGTGAGGGGAACGAGGCAGGGCACTGAGTTCATCAGGCTCCCTCTGCCAGGGGCACCACCTGATGTGCCTTGCACTCGACAGAGCAGAGCGACCCCCGAGCTCGACCTCCAGGCCTGGGCCCTTGGTGTCTACTGCGTGCAAACACTACCAGCCTCCCATGCAAGGCCCGCTGTCCTCGTTGTTAATACAGCCTCTTACTGGGGGCCTTCCGTATCCTCTCTCCTGTGGTGCTGAGGTGACTTCCCTCTCACAGACGAGGGGACTAAAGCTTAGTGACATAACGTCACCAAGTCTGTTAAGTGCTCAGTCTGGGTTCTTAGGGCCACCCAGCGAAACACCACGTTCACGCCATTCCAGCCCCCACCTGGATGTCACGGCTCGTTTCAGGACCAAGGCCGACAGCCAGGGACTCTGCCCCCTAGGTCAGCTTTCTGTATGCCTCCCTCCACCAAATCGGCGATGTGGGGGATGACAGTACCACCTCTAAACTCAAAGCCTCATTTCAGACCCTGAAGT